GGGTGGGTGGGAGACGGAGGGAGGTGGGAATTTGTTTGGTATACTTCGAGTTGAGTCGGACTCGGGGAGGATTCTTTTTCGGTCGATGCTTTTCCCCGGCGATTTCGGCCGCCGCGCTTCCGATCTGCGCTTCGGAGTTTGGCGGGTTAGGGGGCTTATGGCTATGGACTTGGGCTGGAGGTGTCAGAGGGGTGTAAGACGGATTTAGTAGATTTGAAAAGGCTTGGAAGGCGGATTTATGAGTCATTTGGTATATCTTGGTTGGTGGTGTGCTGGTTGTTTTATTATTGGTTTGTTCCTGCTGGTTACCTAGGTATCGTGTACTTCGACCCGACTAGGATGCCGAGTTTCGTTGACCGCGCATGTATCGGGATTCGGGGATTGAGCATTGAGCTCGTTATACTCGAAAGGAAATGGTTTTATACATTCTGTAGAATAATTCGATTCTGTTGAACGAATGGCGGATTGAATAGATGATCTTGCTAGATAGCTAATGATGGAATCTGGAAGCGGAATTTGAGTCCTCAGAGAAATACTTTCATAAAGTGAAGAGTATTTGGTCTCTTCCAGTGATTCTCAAGACCTGAATAGTCCCAAATTACTGTTATACATTGCTGTTAATCGGTAATTACGGAGTACATATCCTACTGCTCGTATACTTCGAATGGCTCTGCGGAGAAAAAGATGCTTACCTCAGCCAGCGGGCGAATCCCCGAAAACTTCAGAAAACGAGACACTCCTTCGACACCTCAACATATCCCCCCCCCCAAATAACCATGGTGCCACGTCTCCCTGGAGGGCTACTCCAGCTCTCCCAGTCCCTCTGGGACGCCCAATTGATCCTGCCCCATGTCTCTGTACGAAACTTTGGCATTCGATCCCTCAATCCCCCCAAGCCCAGTCGCTTCAACAACCACCCCGACCTGCCCATCCTCGAATCCACCTCCACCGCCGCTCTTGCTCGCAAAGCCAACTCGCTCCCCCTTCGGACCGGTGCGATCGGAATCAAGAAGGGCATGACGGCTATCTTCGACTCTGAATCCGGCAAGCGCATCCCCTGCACCGTTCTGCAGCTCGACCGCGTCGAGGTCGTCTCCCACAAGACTCGTCAACAGCATGGTTATTATGCCGTTCAGGTCGGTGCGGGCTGGAAACACCCTCGCAACGTGAACAACTCACTGCTCGGTCACTTCTCCGCCAACGGCATCTCGCCGAAGCGTCACGTCTTCGAGTTCCGCGTCAAGGATGAGGCTGGTCTTCTCCCCGTTGGCAAGAGCATTCAGGCCAATTGGTTCCAGGAGGGTCAGTATGTGGATGCTCGGTCCAACACGAAGGGTAAGGGTTTCGCCGGTGTCATGAAGCGTCATGGCTTCCATGGTCAGGATCGGAGTCACGGTGTGAGTTTGACGCATCGTTCGATGGGTTCTGCGGGTCCCAGTCAGGGTGGTGGTTCTCGTGTGTACCCCGGCAAGAAGATGGCTGGAAGAATGGGTAACATACAGAATACCGTTCAGAATCTCAAGATTCTGAAGGTGGACGCTGAGTCTGGAATTGTGGTTGTGAGCGGTATGTCCCAAGCAACTCTTGTGGCTCTCTTTTTCTTTTCTGTCCCCATTTCTGGTCTCGTTGCTAATCCTACATTTACTATCTAGGCGCTGTCAGCGGTCCCAAGGGTTGCGTTGTTCGGATCCAGGATGCCATCAAGAAGCCCTGGCCCGAGGTTGCCTCGACGGAGACCGCGTCCGAGGCTGCGACTGCTGCTTGATCGGTGACCGAGACCCGGTGGTTGACTTGAGGGGACGCATTGTACTACTACTACACTATTCACGCAGAATCGTGTTCACTTTGAGCGGCGTTTGTATATGATACATTAAATGATATCCTTTTTTTCTTCAAAGTTCTTCTCTGCCCCCATGTTCGAAGGATGTCCCCGCCAACTCGGATTGCCGCATACAATCAGTATTCCGTAAATGATTTGTCCTCCAAACGCCATGTCCCATGCACGAGCAGTTCTATTTGTACAAAATGGCGCCTTTCCATCTCCATCCGGCTCTTCTATCGTACCCGCTTACTCTTGGCGGAACGGATCGGTGTCGCTATCCAGCAGCTGCACCACGGTTCCATCCTCGGTCTCCAGACTCCATACTTCGGTGCGGAACTGTACAATTGTAAATTGATAGCGGTTAGCCCAAGTCCACATCATGAGGGGATCCGTGACATTGCACAGTGGCGACGAGCAACGTCATGCTCAGAAGGAGAGAAATATTCAGAACCACTCACGTAACTCATCCGATCCGGTCGGACACTCTTAAAGCGCATCTTGCCCTGACCCTTGGTACCCTTCACCCAGAAAGTGATATCAATGCGCCCGTGCAGCTGGTTCATTTCACCACTGATCCACGGGATCTGCTGCGCAAAGTAGATCTCGTCGCCGAGGATTTCACGGGCCTGCGGCGACGTGCGCAGAGCGTACAGGGTACTGCTAACCACACTGGACGTGGATTTCTGGTAATTGAAAATACCAAGCATAGCAGCTCCGACGACTACCACAAAGATGGGGAGGGTCTTGAGCCAGCCCTTGCTATTTTCGATGGTGGGCAGCTCGCGGTCTGCGCGGCGCTCCATCAGTGGCCCCGTATTCGGGCCTGGGGCGGGGATCATTGTGCGGCGAGGAGTGATTTGTCGGACGCCGGGGAACCGGACGAGACCGGTTCGCCTGGGAAGGGCCCGGGGAAGAAGCATTGTGAGCTTGGCGGGGGAGGATATGCTCTGGGGAACGCGAGAGAGAGCAGGAAAGAAGTGCGGGAAAGGTTGAAGGGTGGAACGATGGATTTCGGCGAGGCACAAAAACGGACCAAACAGGACAAACATCGGCCCTCGACGTCACGGGCTTTCTAGCTTATCGCCGGGCTTTCGTCGACAGGTCACTGGATTTATTTCGATCAATACTCTCTATTGATGGCGGCTGTACGGCTTCGCAAGGCGTTTCGATATCCCGAGGACTCGGATGAAAATCGTGAAGAGCTCGACGAGGAGGAACAGGAACAACTCATTGAGCAGTTGCAGCGCCAGAATCATGCCCGCAATGCCCAATACCATGTAAATATTGAGTTGCCTGCAACACAGAACCTTTCTTTCCTTGCTTCGAAGATCAATCATAAATCTAACTTGCTTTTTAGATCATCTTCACGAGCATTCCGTTGATTTCGACGATTGCATTCTTGCCTTCAGTCTTCTCGGCGTCAAGTCTGGTGGAATGGCTCTTGTCGCTCTTGGGAGTCCTCTCTCTATTAGCCACGGCCTATACCATGCGACTGTCTCCTTTACATCCAGATCGCAAGGGTAAACAGGCCATCACAGCCGAAAACGATCGCCTGGCCCGACTACACTCGGCCCTTCATTTTGGCAATGGGGCTTTATGCTTGTTGCTGGCTGTCGCTTACTTCGTCGTGGGGACCGGCTCGACTTACACCATTCGACCTGTTCTGTATTTGATCCCGGGAGGTGTGTGACTTATGCCCTTAATTCGCTGTGTACTACTATACTCACCATCTTCTCGACAGCTATGCTTGCCGCCATCTTGCTTGCCCGAGACACCATGCTCTCGGTAGATCTCTCCTCTCTCAAGGATCTACAGTACCAGTACAAGGGTGCATAAGAAACCCACTCGGGCCTTCACAATTGAATGCTTCTCGGTTTTGGAAATTCATCACACATTCATTATTTGCGTAGCCATAGCTGAACATATGAGCACAATAGTCTCTAGACATACAACGCTGTAGACGGGGATATCTCAAAAAAAAAACCCTTCAAACCGGGCCTTCAAACAGTCGCTTCCAAAAACAAACAAAACCCTTCTTCTGCGTCGCCTCACACTGCTCTTGTCAACCCTCAACCCAGACTCATATACGATCCATCGAGTTCCAGCGCTGGATCAATGGGGATTCCAGGCAGCTGATTCTCATACATCACCGATGGAGGGCCGATGGGTGACTCCGTCTGTGGCGGGTCAAGACCGACATGAATGTCATTCTCCGCCAGCTGCTGCTGCCGGCGCTTCTCCTCGTCACAGCGCAAACGCTCCAGACGTTCCGCGTTATCGTCGCCAAATGTTTTCAGGAGTGCCAGATTGGACAAGCGCATGTTGACCAGCGACTCGACACTGCGGGGATCCGCAATCTTGCGCGTATCATGGCCCAGCAGGATGTTGAACGGCTGGTGCGGTTTCATGCTATCATCCAGTCGGCAACTTGAACAGTTGCAGACCTTGCGGCATTTCGGGCACAACCAGTGAGGCCGCTGCATTGCATCTTGAGGGAGCATGTCAAATGCTCGGAACAAACTGCCATAGCAATAATAAAGACTGCATTTCTCACATGCAGCAAGCTTCCACAGGCATTCCGAATTTTTACACATGTGGCACCGGCCTTTGCCATTCGGGGCCTTGCTCCCGTTCGACTTTCTTTTCTTTCGAGCCCGCGAATCGGTATCGGACTCATCATCATCGCTCGGGGTGACTCCTTTGACCTCCTTTGGTTTCGTCGGGTCTACCCATGGGCGCAGGCGCATCTGCTCTTGGCAAATCTCGGCTAGAGATTTACGACCTAGCTCGGATCTGGCAACGAGCAAAGTTGGGGGATTCTTGGGCTTAGGACCATCATACTTGAAGGCAATGATCTGCTGGCGCCAGGTCTCGTGTCGGCTGGTAAGCTGTTTCCAGGGAAATTGCTCAACCCACTTCAGTTTCGAGATGCATCGGCAACTCCGCCCCAGCACGTAACAGTCCATGCAGATATCGTACGTATCATTGCCCTCGCCCACACACCAAGGACAGGTCAAGAACCGATTGAAAATATTGCACCGGCAATATGAGCATGTGATATTGCTCTCAAATTTCTCATACTCGATCTCCTTCGCCGCGGGGGAGCTTTTCGAAAAACTTTCTGAAAGAAGAATGTCGGTGTACATATTGAAAAGCCGCTGGAAATCCTCCTGCAGCATCCGAACTTCAGGATGGGTGGAATCAGGAGCCTTTCGAAGCAACCCAGAGTAGCGCTCGAGAGTGTAATAGACGATGGCCTTATTCTTATATTGCTCATCGCGGCAGATCATACGAGCATTAGCCAGTGCCTCGTCAAAGGCCATCTCTAGTGTCTCAACGGTAGTCCGGTTCCAAGCAACCTTCATTGTCCGAGTCCCACGATTCCACACCTGGTGAGCAGCCAAAGGGGGAACGAGAATCAGGTCTCCTGGCCTTTGTTCGACCACATAGGTGGTGAAAGGTGCGCACTTCCACGCATTTAGTTGAGCAAAGTGGTTTTCCAGGTCCAGATTGTGGCCGAGTGTTGACATCCAATACTCAGAGACAACCCGGCGGTCCTGAGTGCCGGTCATGAACCAGATGGACGAGCCCGGTCGAGTTGGCTTCCCATTCCCATTCTCATAGGATTCATCCGATGCCTCGACCATCAGGTTCTGCCCGAGACTGGCACACATTTCCTGGTGGGCCGGGGTGTATGTCCCCTCATGGCCGATGTAGCACATGAGATTCTCTGCACGCATAGTCACGGGAAGACTGCTCATCAGGTCGCCTGATCGAGCAACAGCTTCCCCTTGTGGAGTCTTGGGGGGTTCGGGGAATTGGGACGCGGGCGACTTAGGTCCATTCATGGGGGATTGGTTGAGGTAAAAGAAGCTGGAAGGGATCAACTGTTTCAGAGCTCGGTGCCATTCTTGTGGGCAGTCGATGTCCTTCAAGTACAGCCGTTGGATGCTCTGGCGGGCGTAGGTAGAAGCATTAATTGGTTCTGTCAGTGTTGCCATGTTCTTGAGGTAATGTCCCAGGGTTAGGCGCAGATTCGCCCCTTTACCCAAGTCTCTGGCATCGTATGCTTTGGAAAGAAGGCACCGGTCAGAGGCGATTGAAATCATGATCTCAAGTCCTGGGGGAATCACCTACTTTGGCTGGCATAATGCTGCTGTAGCCATTTCTCTGAGAACAAATCCTTATCCAGATGTTTGTCAAACCCTGTGATCACCAGTGGAAGTCCCAGCTTCACCACATGGGTGAGGACGTACAACTCCAGGACCTCTCGTGGAAACTGACTGACGGAGTCACAGGATATCCTTTTGGCGAATTCAAAACTAGGAGTTGTTTGCACAACCTCCTCAATGTTGAGGTGCGGTGGAAATGGTTCAAAGACTGCACGCGAACGCTGAATCATAGCGACGCGGTAAAAATGGTATGTATGGTTTGTATGGTGGGGGGAGTTTCGTCGAGTATGTTGGGATGGAGGGGTAGCGAGAGCAAGCAAGCAAGGCCGGTATCTGAGTCAAGCAGGTACATAACCAGACTGACTGAATACTACCAAATGCATTTGTTATACTTCATGCGCAATGCGACGGAGGTGGAAGAGGTGCGGGGAGTTGAGACTCACCTTGCCGATGGAGAGGACCAGGCCGCAAAAGATGGAATGTCCAGGGGATAAGGGTCGGGTAGTCAGCTGGAAGACTGTAGAAGACTAGATGGCCGAAAATCTGGAGGTTTGAAGAGTTGAGGGTCTGAATATCCGCAAAGCTGCTCCTGCCGCCGCGGATTTCCAGCGGCGCAGGCGCGTCGCGTCGCCTTCGGTACAAAGGTACTGGAGCGGTAGATTGAAGAGAAGAAAAACAACAGAACTGTCGAAGAAGATGACAGAGGACAAGAGGGGCAAGGGGGAGGAGATTGTGGTGGAGAGAAGTGGAAGAAGGAAGAGAGAAGGATCCAGAGAAACAGATATCTTTCTCAGTCGCCGCCGCCAAACTTCCCAACTCTCCAACTTCTCGAAGCCGATCAGTGGATCCAGTCTTTGACTCCCCAAAAGGGTTTAGACCCATCGCGGCCAATTTTTTGATTGAACCCGCATTTCATTCCCCATGCTTATGATGATAACGACCCTGACGCTGCTCTCCTAGGGATTTTGGTGCTTCCCCTGGCCATTGGCAACTTTCTGCTGTCCTCTTTAGCTGCACTCGACATCGCTGTGCAAGTATGAATCAATAGCACCCTCTCAGTTGACCCAAATACCTCACTTATATCCTCCTCTCGCTCCCTCGGTCGCGATGCCACTATCAGCGTCGAACGTCCGGCTGTTCCGCCGCGCGCAACTGCTTCAATGCTGCCACCACGCCCGATCCCCCATTAATAGCCGATACCATGGCCGGCTATCCGGCTCTTTGGCTTCTCAATTGAACTCGATCAAGCCAACGGGCTCTTCCTCTCCTTTACACCTTCGCAGTGCGAAGTCGTTGGCGATTATACCGAGGCAAGATTACTCTACGACGACAAGCACACCAATTGCGGCCGACTCGAAAGAACCCAATCCTGCGACTCATTATGTGCCGCCTCAGACGGGCTTGATTGCCTCGCTGCCCAAGTCTTGGATCCCTTATGCCGAGCTAGTTCGCCTGGACAAGCCCACGGGCACATACTATCTCTTCTTCCCTACCCTCTTCTCCACCCTTCTTGCCGCCCCGATGGCCGGCGTGGAACCTCTCCAAGTCCTAGGCACCGTTGGGCTCTTCTTCACGGGCGCCCTGATCATGCGTGGTGCAGGTTGTGCAATTAACGATCTGTGGGACCGGAATCTGGACCCTCATGTGGAACGCACCAAGTTCCGACCCATTGCCCGCGGGGCCCTCTCACCGCGGAACGCAGTGCTGTTCACGGGCAGTCAGCTACTGGCGGGGCTCGGAATCCTCCTTCAATTCCCCTCCCAATGCCTTTGGTACGGCATTCCTAGTTTGCCGATCGTGGTGGCTTACCCCCTGGCCAAGCGAGTCACCAACTACCCACAGGTCGTCCTGGGTCTCGCGTTCTCGTGGGGCGCGATCATGGGCTTCCCGGCGCTGGGGGTCGATTTACTCGCTAATCATGACGCCCTGATGGCATCGGCAGCCCTATATACCAGTTGCATTTCTTGGGTGGTCCTGTACGATATGATCTACGCGCATATGGATATCAAGGATGATGTCGCGGCTGGAATCAAATCCATCGCTCTGCGTCACGAACACAACACCAAGACTGTCCTCTCCGGGCTGGCAGTGGCTCAAGTATCCCTTCTGGGTGCTGCGGGTATTGCTGCGGGCTGTGGGCCGGTCTTCTTCGTTGGCAGCTGTGGCAGTGCCATTCTGTCCTTGGGCCTGATGATTTGGAAGGTTCAGCTCAAGAGCGTTCAGAACTGCTGGTGGTGGTTCAAGAATGGCTGTCTCTTGACAGGTGGTGGCATCAGCTTGGGCCTTCTTGGCGAATATTGTGCACAGTACTTTGGATTGTATGATAAAGACGGGGATAAAGAAGGGCCTGTGAAGTCCGAGTAAACACGCTGTATACTAGAGAATGTACGATTAAAAAGATATTGCAACGGTCCGATTGCCCCTCGCTTTCAATTCCATTTTTCGCCTGTCGCAGTCATTTATAGTGATTACCCAAGTACTTTTTGAGATTTACCTAGAAAATGGAGATTCTAGAGCACATAACTTGAGTATACTGAGTACTGTACTTCGTTATTAGCTTAGGGTGGAGCACGACGTAATGGGCAGCCAACAAGTGCTTAAATAATATTAATGCCGTATTACGAAATCCTCCGCCCGAACACTCCCCGAACTTTCTTCCTCGGCATCATATCCACAAAGCAATGATGTTCGCTCGCACAGCATTCTCGGTACGCTATTCTGTTCAACTGACTTGACTGCTTCCCCCTTCAGCAAAGCTGACATCACACTCCCCTCTTACAGGCTTTCCGCCCGATCTCGCGGCCCTCGTCGCTGAGCGCCGTCCGCGCCCCGGCCTTCGCTCTCCCCTCGGTTCTCCACGCCCGTCTCCTGTCCTCCGAGACCAAAGCGGCTATTGACAAGGCTGTGGCCTCAGCGCCCGTTGTCCTCTTCATGAAGGGTACCCCCGAGACTCCCCAGTGCGGCTTTTCCCGCGCAAGCATTCAGATTCTGGGTCTGCAGGGCGTGGACCCCAAGAAGTTTGTCGCTTTTAACGTGCTGGAGGACCCTGAGCTGCGTCAAGGTGAGTGATGGTTGATCGATCGAGTTTGTGCGCTTGACAGGCAAGCTGACAGTTCTCGTTCATTCCAGGTGTGAAGGAGTACTCGGACTGGCCGACCATTCCCCAATTGTACCTCGACAAGGAGTTCGTTGGCGGATGCGATATCCTGATGTCCATGCATCAAAACGGTGAGCTTGCCAAGATGCTCGAGAGCAAGGGTGTTCTGGTGGCCGCGGATCAATAAATGGAAGTGGCCGCTTAGCCTTCGGCTGGAAAACTATTGATGCCTCATTCCCATGTCGGATTGGTGATTTGTATCACCGTGTAAATTAGTCGGATTCTGCTTGTCTACAGTATTCATATACCTTCTCCTACTCTTGCGACCTACGTGATCATATCTCTATGGACTATGCCAACCGTCGGTCTAAGACGGTGAATCATGAACAGCTAGAGCTCGAATTTACGAGATTGGATACGCTCATACTCGACGACGAGAGCATCTCACTCTTTTTAATTGCCGAATTAAGCGCCTGCAAGCACTATAGTATGCACAATATAATTATATGTACCTACCCCCTACAATACCAGGTGATGAGGCCCAGCACATGTATAGCTGGCATCAGGGGGTTTTCTTCATTTCCACTTTTACTCCATCACACAAATGGGTGTTGCTCTGGAGAGAATCACGTCAGAAAAGAGTCGGTCTAAGCAGAGGATTCCTGCTCTTTGGACTTCACCAAGTCCTCGGCAATGGCCTTCTCCAGCTTAGCCCGCTGCCGAGCCTCGTATGCCTCCCGACTCTTCAGGATACGGCCGACAATTTCACCAGCGTTGACATGCTGGAAGGCATGGTGGTCCACCTCTTGAAAGATTCCCATCTTCTTCGGGTCACTGTACGGATCATATGTCAAGGGAATGAAGGTAGTAGGCCCATGATAGACAACATCCGGTGTGCCCAGAGGCATAGCCTCCAGGTATGGCTGACTGGGGGTGAAGGGCGCCGAGAAAATGACCGCGTTAATGTACTAGAAGGGCTTGTCAGTAAAATATTTAAGATCATCGAAGTGGAAAAATGGTAGGTCCTTACGCGGCACTGAAGAACGCAAAGGCCACGCTCGAAGATGTTCATGATGGGGTAGTTCAATCCCTTCCAGTGGTTGATCACACCGTCGTCATGGATGCCTGCAACGATATATGCTGGGGCATAATCTTCGTTGAATTCCCGGAGTCGCTTCTCCCGCTGCTCCGGCTCATACCAGCCTCGTTGACGGCCTTCGGCCTCTTCCAGCTCCGTCACCTTTCGGAGGAATTCAATGTGGCCGGACGAGAACAGGTCGAAGCCTCCATCCACATAGACGATGCGCTGGCCGGGTTTAGGGCCCTTGCCATCGACCAGAGACTCGAAAGATCCTGCTTCCCCAACCTCATTGTCGATCTTGGCTTCTCCGGAACCTATCCATGTCCACACCTGAGGTCCAGACTGCAGGCCGCTCTCGTCAGTCGCATAATCTTGAATACGCTGCAAGAGATCCTCGGCGAACTTCTTGCGCTCCTCGGGGCTTCCTGATCCTTCCTCTCCGGCGAGTGTCTTTCGAACGGACTTGACGAAGTGGTTCTTTGTGCAAAGGAGCATGCGGCCGACAAGATCGGTAGTGGAAATGCCTGGAGTTCTTTTCACAACCTTGAAGCGACCCGCTGCTTTCACGAATCGGTAACAATCGTTACCATCGCTGTCGGATGTAATGTCGTCGCCGTGTACGACGTACTTGCAACCGTAGTGAGAAACCCAAGGCAAATAGGTCACGTAAGGGGCATGGGGAACGCTCTGAGTGGCCCAACGACAGGCGTCGACGGCTGCGACGCTAAATAGAGAAGCATTTGATGTCAGTGGGCTAGGGTTTGAAAAAAATCAGGCAATGCGACAGAGCTCACCGTTCATCCAAGGACATGACCGTTGGTCCCTTGTTCTCTAGAATTGCTTGGTCGGAATGGATGCCCACAACAAGAGCTTTGCCCAAACGGCGAGCTTGAAGCATGGCGCCGGCATGGCCTGGGTTACATGGTTTCTCGAATTAGCTGCGCACTCCCGGTCGAAATCGCAATGGACATTGTTTACCGTGGTGGCTAAAGTCGAAGCACCCGTCTACCCAAATGCGATCCTCGGAGATGGGAACATCCTCCTGAGGATCTACTGGCCACTGGCCGGGCAAGGGAACTTGCTCATCGAGGGGTGTGGTATCCATTGGAGAATTCTAGAATTGAATGTCTGGGAAGAAAAAAAGACGGGAAATTGGGGGCTTGAGTTTATTATATGGAAATATGGAAATCAGGTGGCCTGAAGATCAGGAGGGGGTGGGGCAAGCTCAGGGACCAATTCCACCTTTTGTCTCCTCCTCCTCCTCCTCCCATAGCTCCTCTCCTGAAACCCCGTCTCGGACTACATTCTAGTCGTATCCTCCGACCCGCGCTCTTCTGTTAATCTGCTCTCTTCGGACCTAGGCGCACTCATCACCGCATCTTGACCCCAACCGTCCGAATTGACTGGGGGAACTTACCCCCCTCGGCCTCCCGCCTTGTCCGACGCTGAAACATCGCATTCTCTTTGTACCCGCCAGAGGCAGCCCTCACCGACACACCATGATCTCGTCCTCGTTTGCACCGAGTCTGACTCGAAGAGATACCGCCAAATCAACTGGTGGATATGACACCACGCACGGGGTTATTCCCCCAGTGACCAGCGGCGGAGGTCCCTTTGGGCCGCAAAGTGCCAGCGCCATTTACCAACAGATTCACGACATGGCCGCGAAACGAATCTCCACATTGGACTATTTGAGGAAAGCGTGAGTGATCATACTCCTTTATGTAGGCCGAAGGCGCCTCGAAATCTCTCTGACTCGCATTGGCGCATCTACAGACTCGATGGCCGGGTTTACTGGTTCAATACCGTGCATTTTTCCCGAGCAGATATTGGTCGCTTACCATACTTCGAGGCTCGAAAGCTTTCCCGTCGAGCCGTGAATTATCTCCTGCTGGGTCTTTCCCTACCTCCCATTCTCGACGTTAATACAACTCCGTTCGAATATCTAAAAGCCCTAAACGCCCTTCTCCTCGAATTCGAAGCTTTTCAGCAGGTGCACCCGCCGGATGGTAGTTCTTCATCAAGTCTAGCGAGAGCGCGTATACCACAAATGTTCAAGCGAGCAACCCATGCCGGCACAAAGACTCGACGGGCCAGCTCGGCAACGGAAATTGGATTGCCGATGCAAACCAGCGACCCTTCGGATTTGAAAAGTACCGCCGCGAACATCAACTCACATTCAACTGCGGCAGCTTCGGTGATCTCGTTCCCCTTGACGGAGTCTTCTGATCTTCTCCCGGGCGAGGAATATATGTATCTCTTAACGCCCTCTTTACCCTTTGAGCCGGATTTCTTCGAAACCTTTGCCACTCTGTGTGATGTCTTGATTGACTGCTACAGTCGTATCGCCAGTCTGGTCCCATCACCATCTGTCTGCACGGTGGCCTTGGGAGAGACATTTTCCAAAGCGGACGCAAAAATCCGAAAGATTCTGGTCGCGGGTGCGGTCCGAGAGTTTGAAGATGCGAGCCGCAATGGCGTCAAAAACGAGGTTGCAGGTGTCAGTCGAGTGGTCCTGGGGGGTCTCTTGGGCTAATATGATATTCATGTCTTCTACTATGTTTACTCACGATGGATGGAAGGCGTTCTGGGTGTTTCACATGATTTCTGTCTAGGTATAGCGATACTCTTTACGGATATATACAAAGAGAATAGAGAATTCGGAGAATGATGACAAGAGACTTTTGAGGTCTAAGTTAATAATCTTCTATGCAAGTATGCCGTTCGAGGCGGATATCACTGGTCTTTGGAGCAGGCTGTAAAATGGAGCAGGTGGTGGAAAAAAACAAATCAAGAGGCACTTTTTTTCCCGGGTCGTGTCGCATCGTGAGGCCATAGGCGTAAGGGTGGAGCCGATAGCACAGGGTTCCCCATTCGCGATTGGGAGGAGGTTGTAAAACAGTGATCAAATGAGAACTCCAATCGCGCCGTAGGCTTCATAATGCGAGAAACAAGATAGCAGAGACAAGAGTGAAGAAAGACGCCGAAAAATGCAGACGCTGGATGCAGAGAACGAGATAGAGAGGGCGAGGCTTCGGGAAACGACAAATTTATCGACGTGTCGATGCGAGTGGATGGGCAGTGATCAAGACTGCAGGCGTTGGTTCTCGAGGTCGCGTTGTTCGCCGAATACGCGACGGCTCATTTCGAGCACAGTTTCGAAACCTTCACGGCCACGCTTGGCATTCTCGCGGAATCGCTCCACGCTTGCCTCCTCGACCTTATTCTTGATCTTTTGCCAGCCACCACAGAGAGCGGTGATCTTGGCTTCCTGTGTGAACTCCGTTGTGGTGTTGGGTGCGAGGGATGATGGCTGGTACACGACAGTTTCACGGACGTTCAGGACATTGGACCAGGTCAGGTTGGTTGAGCACATGGTGACCTTCTTGGCCTGGGGGTCGACGTAGGAGATCTCGTAGACGTGAGAGACGGCGTCGCCGCCAAAGAGCGAAGAGACCCAAGACGGGACTGATTGGTTGCAAGTGATGAGGCGTTCAGTTCGCAGCTAAAAGTAAGGTAGGGCATATTAGCTTGATGACCATTTCAAAGTCTTCACGGAGAATCGGGGTGAACTCACAATGCCGGTATTGGGATCGATCGTGCGAGAAAGGGTATCGACGCCGACGACATGAGTGGCCTTGTCATTCCATGGGCAGTACTTCCTCCAGTTGGCCGTGGATACCTCGTCCCAGGAGTACTCGAAGTTGCACGTTGACGAAAAGACCTTCATCTTTGTGGGTGTTGTGAGTGTTGTGATGAGTGTTTCGTGCACGCTTAACGGAGAATTTTGTTGTCGAAAGCGAGTGAACAACAGATGAGGAGGGGGGTTGAGGCAAAAGAAGATAAGAGATCACCAGTGGCGAGCGTAGGAAAGAGATAGAAGTCGAAATTGATAGATGAGTCAGGCTAAAGGGACGAAGGGAAAAGATGGAGAAAAGGTGGAGTGTGTGGCGATCCTGTGAGAACTGTCAGATCGAGATTTTCTCTCTTCGTCGCGGTTCAGGGCGAGCCGACTTTTCCCGCGGTCCAAGGGGAACGGGCCTATAGGAAGGGTGCCTGAGGCCGCGATAGCCGGGTTCAGGTTAAGGTTTGGGTTTCTGTCACGCTTCCGGCTTACATCAGCGAGCATCCCGCCTCCATCAAGTATGAGCCGAATGATGCGATTTTATTATTCGGGGCTACAGTATGTATAATACGGAGTACTGTACATACACAGTACGGCAGCAGTGGTGTATATAGCATATTAGCTCTTGGTTCCTCCGCCAGTCATACCATGACTATGACCACGAGGTTGTGCAAGATAATGCAAATGGGACCGGTCTCTAAATTAGATACCACGTGATACTAACCTACATATCTCGATCTGATTTTGAGACGAATCCCGGTATATCTCTTACCTAGGGAACGTACGTGTATGTGGCACCCCTCGATAGTTTTGTCGCAAGATAGAGAAGTATGTCCAACAAGATGATGACAATTCTATTATGCATAACAGCATTAGCCGAATATATGCATCCAGCTAAACAGCTACACTGGAGCAGCGGTGGGGTAAAATGTCCGATCGTTCCAGACTTTTTCATGCGTACCCTCCTCCACACTGACTTCCCTTTTTGGTCCAAGCTATCACGAATTCCCCCCCCTCAAGCCACATACCTTTTCACCCCCTGTCCCTTTTCCCCTCCCTCCCTGCTTCTTCTCTCCGCTCATCTCATTTCCTCTTCTCCGCCCCTCCCTCACTATCTCCGCGAATACCTCTTAATCACCAATCGCCGGTCGCAATGGTTGAACTCCGCAAGCGCAAAGCTCCTGCGCCGCCTCCCGTCGTGGAAAAGAAGAGCAAACCAGCCCCCAAACCTAAGGTGACCGACACCCCTAAGGAGACTCCAACAGAGGCCCCGAAGAAGCCCACTGTCCCTGAGGCGGGCGACACTATCAATCTCGACGACTTTGGCGGCGAAATCGAAACCAACGATGGCACCAAGACTACTCTAAAGAAGTTGGTCGAGGAAAGCAAGTCCGGCGTCGTCCTGTTTACCTATCCCAAGGCGTCTACCCCTGGCTGTATGTCCCCCTTTCCCCTCATGACTCTTCCCATATCCTCCTCTGCGCTTCTCAGCTCCATCTTTCGCGACCGCGCCATCTCATCACGGGTTTGTATAGGCACCAAGCAAGTCTGCTTGTTCCGCGACAACTACACGCATCTGACCTCGACGGGTCTGTCTATCTACGGTCTCTCGGCCGACTCCCCCAAGGCCAATACCACCTTCAAGACTAAGCAGAACCTGTCTTATTCCCTTCTCTGCGACCCCAGTGCTACCCTCATTGGGGCCATCGGCTTCAAGAAGGCTCCCAAGGGAACCACCCGCGGCGTGTTCGCCGTGGACAAGAAGGGCAAGGTACTGATTCGTGAGGCTGGCGGTCCGGATGCTACTGTGGACGCTGTTCAGAAACTTGTGGCTCGAGGCCCTGACAAGAGCGAAGCCAAGGAGGAAGCTGGCGATGACGCCGAGGCCAAGTAGTCGTGAGACTTGGGTCGCGCTTCCGCAGGCCTGCTAAGACCTGGTTGGCCGTTGCCGCCATCTCGATCGCACCTATCTCACGACGCATTGAGAACATGTAGCTTGTCAATCGGGCGAGGCGGTAATGGATTAGTTCTAGAGGGAACAGATGGGCCATATTCGGAGTACACCACGCACAGCGCTAGTATGATCTTCTCGTCCCAAGTGCACGTTCCTTCGTCCATGGATTCGGCGACCAGTAGCCTCCATGATGAGAGTCTCAGTCACCAGCTGCAATCTTTCAAGTAGTTCCTCGCGATCCTGGCAGGAATCAGGCTCTCGCATGAGCGAAACGATCTCAAAGGCCTTGGAATACCTTACGCCCGACTAATCTATTCGCGAAGGCTCATCCATAACATGGGGATGGAAATGAGGCCTTCCAGAGTTCCGGAGGCCCTATATTCTACAAGGGGCATCTGGCCCGATGCATCATTATCACCAGCTTAGCTGTCCTGATAGCTTATGCTGTGTGGACACATTCGGATAACACTTTGTAGAGACTCCGTACTGCATGAACCATTCGTCAAACAGGCTATATTAAACGGACAATTATATATATGCCATCTCAGTTATTATTCTCCCCGGGCCAAATTCCGTTGAATTATAGTTCAATGATTTTGAAGGTATTGTCCTAACAATTATCACTGGGCAGGATTGCAAACTTCTCCAACCCCATAGGGTGAAATCCAGTGGGTCGTCACGTGATTCACGCACCTCCGTGGCTGTCCCAACGTGCCGCATCGATGACCTCCAAGCCCGCCGCAAACGCTTGACCGATTTCCAAGGACTTCAGGAGGTGATTCAGAGGCTCAATTCCCTCGCCCTGCTAGCTTTGATCTGTCAGATCAGCCGGTACTCCAGACGTGAAGTGTGAGGCTGACTAGGAGGTATAGGTCAAAGTCTTCAGCCATGACTCGCGATATCCTAAAAGCCGCTCAGTCGGCATCCAATGTCTTCGCACTCTCCCAGGTAAGTGCAAAGCGCCGGCAGATCCTCAATGGCAATAATCCTGGGGCTAAGCTGATCGCACAATAGAAATACACCGTCCGTTCCACCGGAATTTGGGAGCGCCTCCGTCAACTGCTCGCTGTCGATCCCAACCGCTCGACCGGTATCCCTCTGAACTCGCAGTTCCGCCTCCCCTCCCCTGGTTCCTTGCCTCCTCTGTCTTATGATGAGCCCGTTACTCTCCCCGCCGGTGACATCGCCGACAACCCTTACTGGAAGCGCGATACCCGCCGGAGCTACCCCAAGCTGAGCACCGTGAGCCAGGCGGATGCTGTCAGCCTGCTTACCGTTGGAAGCCAAGCCGCACCCAAGGACGACGTTCTTCAGATCGGTGAGGCTGGTGCGAAGCAATTGGTGGAGGTTCAGGAGCAGGGCAAAGAGCGTGGCCTGGCCGCGCTCTTTGAGAAGGACAAGAAGAGCATTCAGGGCGTTTTGGGCGCAAACGGCCTGCCTCCCACGCCTGCCAACATCAACACGGTTGCCCAGGCTTCGCAGTCCAAGTACGAGATTAACCCAGAGCAGGGCTACCCCGATGTGTTCGTGAACCCAGTCCCATATACCAGACTCTCGAATCTAAAATTAACCTCTCTCTTTTAGGTATCCTTGCCGTACCTTTGCTTGATTAGATATTCCTGTTTTTGGCCCTTCCCTAGAAGATCATATTGCCTACAAAAGAGCGCAATAGTCTTTTTACAATCGAATTCACCATTTCTTTGTTCAGTCCGTTTGTGATTCTCGAGTTCAAATTTCTCCAGCCAGTTTTTGCTCGCTTCATCTTGTAAAATCTGTGTCCAGAATAAGGCTCGGGCATATTCTAGTTGATTGAGATGATTGGAACAAGCGACGCATGGTCAAGGCTTCGTCTCACGCTGCAGCCAGTCGAGGAATCGCGGTGGCAAACATTGCCTGAATCCGATATTCACCTATCACATTGCAGTGTCAAGATGGACAAGCAAACAACTCCGCAGCCCCCCCGAAGCTCGAAATGGACCAATACTTTATTACCGTAATCCATATCCCTGCCCTCGTTTCCCCTGTACGGCTTCCTGACAATGCTCCTTCTTCATCGACAATGCTCGTCAACTTCGTCCTGATGCCACATACGGCAAATGCCCACCCTGTACAACCACTCAAGCCTATATGGAAATGAATATTTCATTACAAGCTCACGGGCCATACTGATCCAAATGATATATAGTGGAGATGAAGTAATCGTTCGTAGGGGGTGAATCACCCGTCCTACCCTCGTCGGACCACTGCTCTGCCGACCTCCCAAGAAGCTTTGTAGCATACAACCGAACTTCACCAACTAGCGGCAACTGCCAGAGTACCGGTGTCCCGGGCGTGGCTGAAAGTTAATGATGACTGTCTGAGGAAGGAGCACATGTTACTCCACAGGTGGCTTTACTGACGGCTTGTCTGTTTGATCCTAGCAACTCTATCATAAGCATTGCCCGGGCGTTATAAATTGACTGCTTTAATCCACAAATATTGAATTTCTTGCAGGTGCACCGTACGACTGCTCCTCGGGACGATACATACATAGGAGACCAAAGCTTGGGGATAGATAGAAGGATCGAACGAAGCTTGAGCACCCGGTCAAGCTCGCATTGGAGCTATCCGTCCAGAATCTACAGGCGGACCTATGCTATGGACCTGGAAAAAAAGCCGGGACTAAGTAGGAAGGGAAATGGAGACGTATCTTGAAGTGTGACGTGCATTTGCATTTACATCAGCTAATTAAAATAAGGAAACAAAGTTGGAACTAAATATACAGGGGTCGCCTTTCTCTGTCATACATCGTGTCTACTTTCTGATTATGATGGAATGGAGTGTCCTGGTCAATATTTATTATTGATCATCGATCGCGTTCAGTATTTCAAAGCCAGAGAAAGCTTAATCGAAGGGGTTGGTGCGAGTTCCCCACCAGGTCAGGAACAAGCTGAGTCCGACGGTCTCGAACACCCGTGACACGGCGCCAACGGCAACGGTATCGAGGGGTCGCTTCTCGGAGAAGATCTGGCTGACGAACTGTAAGGATAGAAGGCAAGATGATTAGTTTTGTGGAATATTGAAAGGTAAGGGGTGTCAACTGGAAAGACTTACACCGGGAGCAGAGCTGGCGAAGAAGATCAATGTGCCCAAGTACGCAGCGCCCTTGTAGCTCAGAGTGCCGGTGGCGTTGATCAGAGCAGCCACACCGTAAGTCTGGACAGCGCTTCCAACCAAGGAACTACCCCATGCGGCAGCAGCACCGGCGGCCTCCTTGGACTTGATGAACTCCTCCTTCGAGTTGGCAGACTGGGCACGGTGGTAGGTGTCACCGAAAACGGGGGCGAGGATGCCGAGGGAGGCCGTGTGGGTGAAGAAGGTTCCCATCGCAATAGCGGAGGGCTTCACGGGGGGGAGGTCTAGATGCCAGAGGAAGCTCCTGGTCAGCACGAGATGGTCCATGTGATTTGCAGAAGTAGCGATGCTCGATACGTACAGTGAAGAGTAGTCATGGTGGATGGTGGAATTGGAATGGATTTCGAGGGTTGGAGATGAAGGATGTGTGGTCTGAGTGAATAGGTTGAAGTCGGAGCAAGCAGATGCCTGCTTTATGAAGGTCTGCCCATTGGCCTGGAACCAGGGTTTGGCAATGGTACGGAATGCAGTGACGTCGTCATGATTCAGACAATCAACCGATTTTGTGGAGAGCCCATGACGTCAGGTCGCATGTCCACTGGGTGGCGCTGGTAATCCTTCTGAGCTTCCTTGTTCTTTGAAACGCCCTCGGCGGAAATGCGGTTGGTGACGGACATATCCGAGGGGAGTTGATGGGCCAATTGGACTGGGGGAAAATGATCTCGAGATTCGACGAGAGTGCGGAGGATCGTGTGCTACAGGATGATTCCAGGGCCTGGAGGCCCATCTACTCCGGAGTTGGCATCGCCATGTGGAGAAGGCCCAGAAGGCCCCCCGATCTGCAGGACCAGACGCACGGGCACAATCTTCTTTCGGACGTACTTGGCTCTTCCTGCTTGCTACCGTTTCATGTTCTATTATCGATCACGTAGTATTGTCCAACCCGGATATTTCCCACTCCCACAGGCACGCGATCAGTGTGATCCTCCCAAGCCAGGTAGGCACTGTGACAAGGTTCTTTCTGATCCTTGATTCGTTGGCCTCGGTCCAGGGACCTTATGTTTCCAGACTTTACCCTCAACAGCCCTGGTAAACAATCAACCCCAGGATCTCTTAATGGTGATACTTGACAATTTCAGGCCTCACAGTTCTGCCTCATGGAAACCGTCATGTGATCTGCACGATAAGGTAGCAAAAGACCCGCACGAGAGCTTATCGGCGCACCACGATGTTTTTCTGTTTTCTGCAGTCTTCCAATTATTCCCGCTACCTCTAAGGCACTCTTCCTGTCCTCTTCTGCCTTCTTCTTCGTGTCCATCCTCAGCGCAAACGGGCTCATGGAGCGATCGCTAACCCCCGAGTCGGACCCCGACGCACCATTTAATGTGAGCGACTCACTGGCTCCCCCGCGAGACATCAAGTCCGCGGGGACCACGACCACCAACTTCGACGGCCTTCTCCAAGAGCCTTTGTTGTTGAAGGAGGATCTCAAGAATGGCTGCGGTGGACAACTTTGGCCGGCTGGCATGGTTCTGGCTAAATACCTCCTGTCACAACACTCGAAGAACATGTCTGGGAAATCAGTGTCGGTATTCCCCCCTCCCAAACGGCTTCCACTCTCTCGAGTGAAAAGCTGTGTGGCTCCCCATCTGTCTCCTCTGCATCTATCCTACACCCAACTGGGAATTGACCACTAATGTACCGTGTAGCGTGGAATTGGGAGCTGGAGGTGGCCTCGTTGGACTTGCGGTTGCTCGTGGGTGTGAAGTTGGCGAACCCATCCACATTACAGATCAAATACCCATGTTTGATTTGATGAAAGACAATATCACTCTCAACAACCTCAACTCGACTGTGGTAGCGTCGATCTTGGATTGGGGAGAGCCTATTCCCAGCCATATTCCTTCCAAGCCAGATATTATTCTTGCGGCCGACTGCGTCTACTTCGAGCCTGCATTCCCCCTCCTCATCACCACTTTGCAGGACCTGCTGGGTCCCAACTCAGTGTGCTACTTTTGTTACAAAAGGCGTCGGAGAGCAGATTTGCGCTTCATGAAGATGGCCAAGAAAGCCTTCGATGTGCAGGAGGTCCGTGACGACCCCAATGCTGCCTCGTACAGCCGGGAATCCCTGTACCTCTACACTATCCGCCTCAAGCCCACCAAGCAGCCCATCACCAATACCCATACGCAAATATGCCCTCCTGTGGAATCAAGGATACCAGAAACAAATATAGACATAGAACAATGATAAATGATGAATGACGAGAGAAGCATAAAAAAGGAGCCTTCGAAAATATTTTGATTGATCCAAATGCTAAAGAAAAAAAATTAAATAGTAGAAAAAAACGTCTAATTTTATATTCACATAGGCTACTTCACAGCCATTGAAGTAACTCATAGCTTGAGGGTATCTCCACTGGTCTTGGTATTCGCTTGCACTTTGCTTCCGCTCATGTCGGTGACCTTGCCCTCCTTGTTGATGACCTTGACCCCACCCTTCTTCAGGTCGGACACGAGCTGCTGCTTTTCGGCCGCCTTGCCAGAAGGTTTGGTGGACACGTCCTCCTTCTTTTGGCTCTTCCTCTGCCTCCTCTTCCGGGCCTTCTCTTCCCGGCTCATCTCGTCCTTGGAAATAGCCGCACCAGTCTTAAGCACCACCTCCCCAGCGACTCGGCCATCATCACCAGGCGCGTAGATCTCCTGCGGAGCAAGGGCCGACGGTCCTCCCACAGCGCTACCGGCCGTGGGTCGGGCATCCTCCATCATGATCGTTGGGGCATCAGTAACGACATTGATGCTAACCTGGGGGGTTTGTGGCTTGTAGTTCAAGTTGCAGAGGAGATCCAGCTTGGAGCTGATCTCCTTCCAAAGATCGGTCACCTCAGCATGCTCACGCATCAACTTCTGGTTCTTGGGGTCGACGAAATTGGCATCCGTTGCGCGTAGGTGATCCGCTTCGTACATTTCCGCCAGGCTTTGCTGAGGTTTGGTGTCCGCCAGCTCGAATCGTCCACGTCGTGAAGACTGAATGTCGGCAGCACCAGGGAGACGGCGAATCACTTCATCAAACTCCTTTGCAAGAATGCGACGCTTAACAAGCTCTTCGATATCCTCGGTGGTCTCATTTGTCACCACGGGGACTGGCTTGCCCACGCGCTCAAAGTCGAGGTCCTCCTCAATGAGAGAGTTGACGGGACGCTCGACTGCTCGGGCTTCACCTACAAGCATCCATTCTTTCTTGGCCACATTGGCCGCTTCCAGTCGGCGGATCTCATCCGCGATCCGGGCGCGCTGCTTTTCGTGGGTAGATCGTGGGCCGTTTGAGTCGCCAGTCTCGTCCATATCCTCATCCTCGGCCCCAGCCTCGGACTCCTCATCGAAGAGATCACGTCGAACATCGGCCATAGCGCGTTCCACATCGCCCTCCATCGCTTCCGCAGACGGTTGGGTCTTCGGTAATGCACGTCTCTTCTTGGATGAGGCTTTGCGTGGGGGTGGGGCAAAGAAATCGGCATATTTGATGTCATTCGCATTCTCAATCCCACCCATGCCTGCTTCCTCCGCATCGAAGGCATCTTCGTCTGAATCGGAGTCGCCGTGAAGATCCGCATTTCCAAATGTTGGACCATCCTCTTCGCTATCATCATCCATGCCATCGTTTTCATCCAGTCCACTGGTTTTCTTGGAAGCCGAAGGTTTGGCTAAAGACTCCATGCTACCAGCCTCCATGGGATTGGCGTGCCAGTCAATCTCCTCATCATCGCTGTCATCGGCATCATTGCCTGCGCCTCTTGCGTCTAACCTCTCCCAGTGCTCGGTCTGCTTGTTGAAATCGTCGATTGAGAAAAATCCGTCGTTGAGGCCGAAGCGATCTTCGACGTAGGTGCCTGGATCTTCCTCGTCGGAGTCGACTGAACCTTCATCCACGCTCATGGCATCGTTCATTATACTGTCAGAATCCGGTAGTTCTTCCTCTGATTGCTCGAGCTTCTCGCTCATCTCATTGTCGTCGTCGTCGTCGTCGCCGTCGAGGCTTGCATCTTCCGAAAAGGCATCGGACAAGCTGTCCGCATCATCGCTTTCAGAAGCCGAACCCTCGGGGTCGGAAACATCCGTTTGATCCTCATCGGCTGAGGACAGGTCGTCGTCATTGCGAGCAAGTAGTGTTATATCCCGTTCGACCTCCCTTCCGGCAGACTCGAGGATCCGAGTGGCTTGTTCCCATATTTGGTTGGAAGTGAAGCCTTCCACGTACAGGTTCTTCAGTTGGAGTGGCGGAACACCATCCAGTTCAGCATCCACCCTCTTGCGCTTCTTGTTGATTTGACGGCGAAGGGTTTGATCGTCGACGATGGAAGCTGCCAGCGGATCAAGAATTTGCTTTGCAGAATCGGCGACTTGAGCGTGCAAGTGATCGGTCGGATGAAGGAACGTCCAAGGTTTCGCTAAGACGGTAGGGAGCGTGGGCTCAACTTCGGATGGGTTTGCACCCGTCTGGCTTTTTGCCATGTTGAAAGACTTGAGGACCGACGGACAAAGGGCGAAGCTGAAAGCACGGCGTGGAGACAGCGGAGAGATACTAAGACCAGCGACGGGAAGAAAAATTATTGCGCGCACGGACCACAGATATTACAAGAGACACGGCGATAAGATAAGAGATAAGGCAGCGAAGCGCATACTCTGTACTCTACTCCGTATATAGGTGCTAGCACGACTACTACTCTGCAAATAGTGAATCGGGGGTATTATCAATGTATTTCCAAGTATTTCGCCAATGGCGTGTTGTCTACCAGTAACCTGAAAGACCTTCAAAACTGTAATACAAGGGATTATTCTACATAAGTTCGGGGCTGGGTCACTGATCATACTCAAAGATAAAGATTTGCGCCTCGCTTGTGACTATACTAGACCTACAAATTTAACAGCCAACACGTTGTATATTCTCATGTATACCGGCATTACGGACTGGCCTCATTTAGTACCGGTCATTATAATCTTCCCTTCGCGTCTACAGCCATCCATCCTTCCCCTTTTCTTTTCCTCGGCAACTTCGTACCTATCACCACAGAGCCCCAAAATGACGATAAATCATCATCATATCTCGCTGCAGAGTGGCACCGTGGCGTAAAATATGCTATCGGGCTACGACGCCGCGCCAACACAGGATGCACGTTTTATCCTAGCCAACAATTCAGAATCCAAGAATTGCAGCTGACGCCACCCCGCTCACAAACCATACCTCAAATAATGCAGGGGCACAGACTCATAATCGGAAGGGGGCCATATTGTTTCATACTAGAGAGGCTCTAACTTCGGCGGGAGGAATTCCATCCCACAGGCGAAAATAAGCAAAAACAGTAAAACCACTGGCACATTTGAGCTGTCATAGTGACGGAGATTTTGTCCTCGCGGTATATAGAACCCCCGTGCAGTTCATGTGGCATGATAAGTAGCACGATTCGATCGCGTTCCTCGGTTTAGATCTACTATAGTCTCTTGTTCAACTTCATACGGTTTTGACTCTTTAGGATAACCGTCGAGTCTTATTCTCCAAAGCATAATGCCTCCCGTCTCCCAACATGTTGAAAAGCCCGCAAGCGGTGCCAAATCTCAATTCGAGCCTGGTAAGCTATTCCGCATGCTCAAGACCAAAAATAACCATTACCCGTAGTGAAGAACGACAAATAACGGGATACTAGGCCATAAAATTCCGATCCAACATTTGACCAAGCCTGGCCTGGAGTCGGACATGGCGGACCCTAAACCCGTCTTTGACCGAATTCCCACCGAAGACGGCGGCTATCAGCCATACAAGGCAGCCGATAAGCTGAGAGGCAAGAAAGCCATCATCACCGGTGGTGATTCCGGAATTGGGCGTGCGACGGCGGTCCTCTATGCGATGGAGGGGGCGTCGAGCTTGATCGTCTATTTGCCAGAGGAGGAGTCGGACGCCAAGGAAACCAAAAAGAAGGTCGAGGAGCACGGTGCGCATTGTCATTGTCTGGCAATCGACTTGCGCAAACGAGAGAATTGCAAGAAGGTGGTCGATACCGCTCTGCAGACCCTGGGAGGTATCGACATCCTGGTCAACAATGCCGCCTTCCAGCATATGCTGAGTGATATCAGCGAGCTCGACGAGTAAGTGGCCCTACTCAGTGAATGATATAGCGACACTATACCGAGAGGACTGTGCCGTACATGGCCTGGGGAACAGATTATATTGATACTGCCGCAGGGATCAGTGGGAGCGAACCTTTAACACGAACATTCATCCATTCTTCTACCTTTCCAAGTATGCTCTACCCCACATGAAACGAGGATCCACCATTATCAATTGTGCATCTGTCAACCCATACATTGGTCGTGGCGATCTCCTCGACTATACGTCGACCAAGGGAGCCATCGTGGCATTCACACGAGCCCTCTCGAACCAGCAGCTCAAAAATGGTATTCGTGTTAACTGCGTTTGCCCGGGTCCCAGTACGTCTTGCGATTCCCAAAGAGATCTTCCCATTGAAAGTGATGCATTCTAACAATTTGTAACCAGTCTGGACCCCGCTCATTCCATCCACAATGCACACTAGTGCCATGGAGCAATTCCACACAGTACCGATGGGACGGCCAGGACAGCCAAGTGAAGTTGCAACGTGCTTCGTCTTTCTTGCCAGCCAGGATAGTAGTTATATTGCGGGCCAGTGCCTCCATCCGAACGGTGGAGTTATGGTTAATGGCTAAGGCAAGATGTTTTATCACATTCCGCCGGTCTAACTCCAGCCTTAAAGCTTTTCCATCTGCTCTTACCCCTGACTATGGTGGCAACGACGATGCTATCGAGAATGATATTCCAACGAAAACCGAGATAGTGCTACAAAGCCTTTAGAAAATATACTTTGATTCCAGTTATTCTTAACCAGACAGCCCGAGGACGCTTTCTGCCAATTTCATTACCCTAGGGTATGATTTTACTCCCGTACACTCTCAACAGTATGGGCGAATTGTGAAGAAGTCAAGGAAATTAAGCGTCGCAGACAAGGGCTGAGTATTGATGATGTACAAAGGTAGGAAAGGTAGGAAAGGCACGAAAAGAATTCACGATGGCTGGAATATTTTGAGGTCCACCGTTCATGATGGGCGCAAGCATAAGAGAAACAAATTTGCATAAAACCCCATAAATTTAGCGCCGGTACCACATGCGAGTGATCCGGGTGTGTCTCATCTTCTTCTGCAGCTGGAAGATACCGTACATCAAAGCTTCGGAGGTAGGAGGACCTGAACACTGGTTAATATCACCGGGAAGGCCAAGAAGGTCATGATTGTCCAGTGCATGGAAAGCGAGGGAAACTTACACCCAGGGACATAGACATCGACGGGGACAATACGGTCACAACCCCGAACGACCGAGTAACTGTAGTGGTAGTAGCCACCACCGTTGGCGCAACTACCCATGCTGATAACCCACCGAGGGTCGGGCATCTGATCGTACACCTGGCGGAGAGCGGGCGCCATCTTGTTTGTCAACGTACCGGCCACGATCATCACATCTGACTGACGAGGGGAGGCTCGGAAGATAATTCCCAGACGATCCTGATCGTAGCGGGGGGTGGAAAGGTGCATCATCTCGACGGCACAGCAGGCGAGACCGAAGGTCATGGGCCAGAGGGAGCTCTGACGGGCCCAATTGGTAACCTGATCAAGGGTGGTCCTTCGACAAGGTCAGCATGAAGGAACACTTCGAGGCCAGAGTCGTGATCCTGGCAGAGGCACGTACAAGACATATTGCATAGCACCCTCCTTCTTCTCTTGGCTGGGCAGAGGAACTTCCTTCCGGACCTTGCCAGAGGCAGTGAGCGCCTGGCCACTAGATGACTGGCGCTCAAGAGCGGTCGCAGATTTCACGGAGGAGGTCGACAGGGCAGCGATGGGGCTAGCACGGGGAAGGCATGATGCCAGTCGAGGGCGCACTGCGAACGGTCTTAGTCTTAGACAAGAAGCTTTCTGAATGGAGAGCCGAGGGATATTCTTACCACACAGAGCGACAGAGACAGCGGGTCGCGCCATGGGCAACATGATTGATGTTGATTGAGCAGGTGGGAACCCGGATGGACTTGAACGGGGTGGCGGATTGCTGGATTGTCGCGGAGGAACTTTGGAGTTGCCGGGATACACGTGACTTGGTAACCGGCTTTGGCCGTTTGGTGATTGGACTAGTGGTGAATCCGTGGATCCACCGATGCAGTTGCTCCGTCGAGCAGAGTGGACGGTATGCAAGTGATTTTGAAGTTGAAGTAATTAGAAGAATATTCCAAGATATAGCAGCAGTGTGGAACATCAATCGGTGCCCCTCTCTCATGTCTTGAACGACCAATTCAACTGGGAACATCCCGAGGTTTCTCCGTGGCGCGTCTAATCAGCTCTTAACTGCGATGGTCAGTCAAGCCCTCCGCTGGCGGGCGGTCAGCGGTGCCCGCCACATCAACCACATCCCACGTTCAGCGAGAGCAATGGTTGAGTTGCGCCATATTCCTCCATCACTCACTCACTCAACAATTTTCGGGGAGAATGAGATGACCTCTTCCTCCACTGACATCTGAGCGCCGAGACACTCGGGGGTGGACCGCTTTTGTGGGTAGCTCTTGTCACAGCCCTTCTGGGGAGCGAAGCTACATTGATTGACAAGCACCGGTCAACCGTATGTGAATTGGCACGCCAAGGGCACGAAAGGAATTGTCTCAAGCAGTCTATCCGTGTCCTACTCGAAAGCATGGCTGGTCCTCGTATTGCCTGCATTGGAGTCATTGGGAAAACAGTACGAGCGATGGATGCCTCTGCAATGACAGCTCACAATGCTGACTGACGGAACCGCTCAGGATAATCCTCTCCATATCTCTCTTTTCCCTCCATACACAGATGCCACCATTGAATTCTCATTCTTACTAAACTCCTGCCTCGACATCTTCGAGATTCGGCGCAAGCAAACCTCCATCGACCAGGACCTCGGTCTACTACATGCGATTGACGAAAGGCTTGCCGCTTACGGCTGGCTGACGACAACCGGGATCAAGCTCCTGATCATCGTGGATCTCTTTGGCCAGGAAGCCGTGAGCGCAGGCAAGCCTGCCGGCCCTGCAGTCAGCGGCCTGAGAGATTCTGACCTGAAGCCGGTATGCGGAAAGCAATCCATCCCGAACTTTGCCAGTCCAAAGACTAATCCTCCAAACTCCCAGGCGTTCCGAGCGTTACAGAGCGCATATATCCAGCTTTTGCAGAATCCCTTTTATTCCCCGGATGACCATGTCCCGACGCCGGGAGCGACTGCAGGCGCAGCCTCCGCTTGCCAACCCGTTTCCAATCCAAAATTCATAGCAGATGTGAAACGTATTGGTGAATCCTGGGCTCCGGGAGCCACGTTATAGATGCAGAAATAGAATATCTCAGTTTATCAATGATAACCATCTTGGGTTTTTAATTACTTCAAACCCCGGCTCCGGGGTTCTTCCTTCGCCATAGTTACAAAAAGTCAACACCGGCCCAAACGGGCAAAAAAGGGCCCTCAGATGGCCTCGGGGAATAATCAGAATGCAGGAAGGGGTCCTTATTTCCAGGAACATCATCATGGCACCGGAGCATCTACGCTCTTGCGTGTTTCCTCTAAAGCAACCATCATCTCCTCCATTTCCCGAGGATTGCAAACCGCCCAGACACCACCTCCCTTAGTGTCTACCCGGCCAACCTCCTTCCCAACTAGATTTCGACCCACCTTTCCCGGTCCAATTCCGATCCAGCATCGGACTCCTCGTTCCTGATGGAGATAGCGGATACTGTCCCACCATCGAATCGTGTCGGTGCATTGTCGGGACAGTAGCTGTATGAGGTCCTCTTTTGACTGGAAAGGGAGCGCCGAGACGTTGGAAACACACGGGATCATGCCAGGGAACGTGATGTCAACATTCTCGATGGCGTTGCTCATGTAATCTGATGCTGGAGACATCACCGGACTGTGGAACGGACTGTCACTGTTCAGTCTCACGGCACGAGGGTCATGGCCGCCGAACTGACGCAGCTGGACAAGAAGGGCTTTAATTCGTGGAATACTGCCGCTCAGGACGATCTGATTGGGAGAATTGATATTTGCTACCATCACATTTGATATCGGCGGCATCGCGTGATTTGTGTCGTCGAGGCGCGAGGTTCCCAGCCCCAGAAAGTCGTAGACCGTCTTTAGTAGATCCTCCAGGCGATCGGGCTCACAAATGAGAGCCACCATCCCGTAGCTTTCGCCGGACCGCTCCATTATCTGTCGTGTGCATCGAGCCATCACTTCGGCTCGGCGACGGACCAATTTGAGTGCGTCGGCGAATTGGAGATAACCTGCGGCCACCAAGGCCGAGAATTCTCCTAGGCTGTGCCCCAGCATAACGTCGACGCGAGATTTGGTATCGAATCCAAATTCCTCCTCGAGGATTCGGAGGATGAGAACGGAGACTGCCATGATCGCGGGCTGCGCATTCTCGGTCTGATTCAATTTGGAGTTGGGCCCATCAAGGATGATACGCGAAAGTTTGAATCCAAGAATAGAATCCATTTCATTCAAAGCGTGAGTTGTTTTATGGGGGAAATGGTCCATCCAGGTGTTCGCCATGCCAACCCGCTGGACCCCATGTCCTAAGAAGATGCACTGTCATCCTGAGTTTCCGAGCAGAAGGCAGCAAAGAGGGTAACAAACCTGGAAAGAAGAGGGCCGTGTGAAGCAGCTTCCTTCTAGTGAACGAGGCCAGAGCCGATGGTGTTCGTAGCATCATGGAGGTCGCGAGGTATCGGCCAGGCGACGACGGGCGTCTGAAGGTTACAGCACAGAGCATTTTCGCGTGTAAACACGGCACTTCCGGCCTTCATCATAGTCTATTCAACGTAGTAGGCGGACATTTTGAAGCTTGCAGTTGTTGTTGATGACCCCACTCCATCGAAACGAACATTGCCTGTACCCCGTCCCGCCGCTGGAGCTGTCTACGTGCAGCACCGACTGGACTCGGAGGGGGGCGATAACGTAAGCCTCCGCAGATCGGCGGAAGTACCTACCCTAGGTACCTGCATCATTGTATAATCTACCTACGGTATGGAGTTAATAGAATAATAAACGTGACAATATCTGGGTTCAATAAGTTCTTAAAATTGGGGATCTGATCACTAAATTGTAAGCGTGTCTCTCTCGGATCTCAGTATGCTATCATCTATACCTAGCGAGGGATGATATTTGGGTAGTAAACATCATAGCTCGGTGGCTTATGATCACGTGATTTGTATCTCCGCGTCTCGCGTCCTGCAATCTGCTTGTCTCACCGCCCGGCCCAAACACTCCCCAGAAGGCTGCTAGCAAACTTGCTATCCAGGCAAGGTTGGCTTTTTGTATCATCCACTTCACGGCCCTCTTACTTGTGGGAGCCTAGTTCTCGTGACCTCTCTCTTGGCCTTGGCCAATATTGCGAGGTCAAACGATTCTCTCTTATCGCAACTCGTCACCCGCTCAGTTGTCTCCAAAAAATGTTCGTCCCCAAAACAGCCGCCGCATCGCGCAACCCTCGCAGGCGCCAGAGGACCAGCTCCGACGACTCCGTCAAGCCACCAAAGGCGAAAAGACAGCGCTCAGTGCTGCGCCAATCTGGCGACTCTCAAGCCACGAGCTTGAATCATGATCAGCGTGAAGTCGCAGAGCCGTCTATCGCTATCCGGCCCTCTGATCACGATGTGGTTACCACCGCCATTGGCCCTGAGTCGCATCTTCCAATTCGGAGCGCAAAGCAGGGTGAAGGGCCTAGTAGCGATACTGATGGGACGGTCGTACTGGTTCGTACATTAGAGCTTCCTTTCTCTGCAATCTTGCCGTTGGGGAAAGATTAGGGTGTTTAAAGCTCCGGTTTGCTAACGTCTACCGAACACAGTCAAGCACTGATTACTACACCGTCCATCAGCTTCCCGCTTTACCGGATCAAATCCGAGGATCACTTTCCGGTATGCTGTTCGCTTTCCTATGGCTGAGTTCCCAGTGACCACATGATCATTAACTTTTGAGAAACCAGACTCCCTTCGATGTTTTTTTGCACCGAATCATCAGTACGCACTCGCCTTAACACCCTCGCACGCAATCATATGGCCATATTCGGTGACCATGTCGACTCCATCAGCCTCGCACACTTTCGCAGTCTCAATTCCTGAGACATGTAGGGACACACATGGTGCAGTTCCGCTCGGCGTCCTGCTGTCCACTGCCACAGGGAGCCATCCTGGCCTTCTCATTATCATCCCTTCCACAGGAAAAATCATTTACTGGGAGACAGTTTCGAGCGCAGCATCACTAGGATTGTCCCGGCAAAAACAGAATGGTATTCAAGGATCGACTCCCGGTCTCCTGTCCGGCGAATACGCCACAGAGATCATAAATTGTGAGCCCTCGGGGACCATCATCGTCTTTTCCTCCGGGCGAGTGGCACATGTCACTCTAAGAGATCCTCAAGGAAAGCCCTCGGTGCTGGTGAATTTCCTTAGCACGTCGATCAGTGGTGGGGCCGGAGGATTCCTAGGTGGGATCAAAAGTGTTCTAGGTGGCGGTTCTTGGAGGAAAGAAGTTACTGCAGTTCAAGCAGGTGGATCACGCCAGCGAGGTCAGCGAGACGTGATAGTTGCCACTTCCACTGGTCAAGTGGAAATTTGGGATACGCATTGGAATCACGGAAATGCGCTGAAGAAGAAGTTCGATGTCAGAGGGGACATTGCAGCATCCATTCTTCATGACTCCGTTAAGTCAGTTGGGGAGGCCGACCTGAAAGTTCTGGATTTCGCATTTTCCGAGCAGCTCCCTTTGGAGAATGAAGATGACTCCCAAGTATCTGAGGAGTCCTGGCGGCTTTTTATGGTTGTCAGCACCCCACAGCTGCTGGAGTCCAGAACACTCTTCGTCGTTCAGGTCCTCTTATCGGGAACTGGCACACGTATCCTATCTACTCATGCAGTGGATATCCATACCATCCCCGCCATGCGGAACGACTTGAAGCCCAAAATACTGGTTTCAAAGGGGGAGAGTACTGCCTTTATCCTTATTGGGCAATCTCTGGTTGTTCTGTCTCTTAAGAGCCACGAGGAGACCCCGACTTCCCAACTCCTTTTGGACGCTCACAAAACGCCTCTGTCTTTCCAAGATATCATCCATCTTCGGTCAGGCAAAGACTATGAAATTTTGGGATATAGTTCTGAGGGCCAGTTCGATGATGAGAGCGGCACATCATGCGTGATGATGGTCCGAAATTTCGGCGTCGTGCGAGTGAACGTGATCCCTCAGTTCCCGTCGGCGCTCGATGCGGATGAGGGCCAAGTCACTGCGAAACACAAGCTCGAGCAGGCAATTTTCTTCGGAACCATGGCACAGAATCCCTTGAACTTGCTTGGGGATAGTGACCTCGATTTCCCGGCGTCTGAAATCGAGCAAGCGTCTCTGGAAATCTGTAAGGAGCTTCTTCGGTCGGATTCCCGCTTCGTTCCTACCTCTGCCATATCCATAGACCAGAACCTGAGGCTGAGGGCTAAAGCCCTTGGGGATCTTGCGACCTTGTTGTTGCGCAAGGGAAACCCGCTAAGCCGCCCAGCAAGGTGGGAACTGCTGTGGGGAGCAGAAAAACTCGCTGCGCAACGAGCTATGTGGAAGCTAGAAGAGGAACGTAGAAGCAAAGGCGAAGACGTTTTCCTGGGCAATGTCATCGAATCTATGAACGACAAATTCAAGACGCTCCCTGGCCCCTCGCATGGGGACGCTGATCCAGTGCGTCTGTGGTTCATGAAGGACACGCATCACATGGAACATGTGATTCCCTGGATCAAGAATGCCATCAAACCTCGGAAGGGAAATTCCTCGAAGCAGGCACGGAAGCTGTCCGAGCAGATTTTGGAGGCAAGCGAGCTTTTCCTAGCTATCATCGAAACAGCTTATCGATATCGTGACGAGCACGCATCCGTGTACGGACTGGGCAGTGATTTCGTGGAGGATGGCGTTCTGGCTGATGGGTACGAAAGTCTTCCTGAATTCTGGACCTCTCGCGCGGTTGGATACACCGAGGCAGGCCATTTACTTGACTGGGAGCTGGACAGTTGTCGGGCATGGATCCAACAAAAGACCTCTAGTTCAGACGCACCCGATGGCCAGGTCTTGAAGAAAATTGCCGAAAACAGTGCCCGCCATCTCCGGGTCCTCGGCCAGATGCACCGTGAACGAACACGCTGGTTAAGTGCACAAGACGATTCCAAGCTAGCAGACGAATGTGCTGCGATTGAACAGTCTCACGTGAAGGAACGCAAATGGCAACTGTTCAAATTAGCGGGCATCGGCCATCTTCGGGATGCTTTGAGCCTAGCGGAGCGCTTCCAGGATATGGGGGCTCTCGTCGAACTTATCATTGAACTCCAGGACCAAGTGAAATCCCAGCCAGGCCCAGAATCGTTGGTGGATGCTCCTGCCATGGCGGCAAGCGAAGCTGATGTCGCGCATCGAGTTTCTCAATATTTTGAAAGATTCGGCGAGCCGTGGGCGGATGCATACTTCTCACGCCAGATTTCAATGGGCCATCCAGGCGCCTTGCTCTCCATGCGCAAGTATCAAGCGTCCGTTACTCGGTTTCTCCGGAAAACACCCAACTATTCCAAATTGAGCTGGATCAACGACGTAACAGGCGAAGAGGACTATGAAACTGCTGCTGTATGTCTGGAAGGTCTGGCGCTTGGTGGTGAAGAAGAATTGTGGAGTCATCGAGTGCAATTATCGTTGGCAAAGCTGAGCAACCTAGCCTCGAGCGAGAAAAAGCAGCCGCGAAACCGTCCTTCGTCCTTACAGGAAGATATCAAACGGCTGGATGATTACAATGAGATCGATGAAATTCAGGATTCTCTTCATAACTATATGAAGTCATTCTGTGAAGATGCGATCGATCGGAGGGCTGCAGTTGACTTGGCACTGGGTTATTTTGGTGAACATCTCGCAGCAGATCGTCCTTCGCTCTACAAAATTTTGGATGATGCGTTATTCACCCTGTTCAACAGACACGTGGTCGGTGTTGATACTTTGATCGATTTACTCACGCTTATGGGTCCGCTCCACCACAATGATGACATTGAAGGTGATTTTGGGGGGCGGGAATTTTTCCTAGCGCTTCGAGTCCTCGATCACAGTCGCTACGGCGAGCGGGATACATCATACATGTCAGCATTGCGAAAGTTAATTTGGCGACGTTGCTTAATCAAAGATGACTGGGAAGCTCGGGGAAAGGCCGCGGAGGGTTCCAATGGGACGTCGGACGAGTCTGCACGCGACACTGCTCTATATCGTACCCTGTCTCTCTGTCTCTCTGGTGAGTTTTTCTGAGCACGCTAACTTTTACCCCCTTCTAAAGATCTTCTTCAGCCCCTTGCAGACCTAGTCTCCAGTCTCTTGTCGTGCCTCTTGCTCCGACAGATGCGCTGATGGCTGGTTCTGAACTCGAAATCCTTGTGTCACGCTTTCGTGCCGAGCAACAAGCGCGGGTGATTTCTGACCTGAAGCGGGAAGACGACCTGCTGCGTCAGTTCATCGAAACTGGCAAACTTGACTTTTGGTTTCAAAACCTCGTTGCCTCCATCAAGTCTGAATCGGCTCCGGATGCGATCACAGATGGCAATGGCGCACAAGCCGAATCCTCCCCATCCACCGACTCCAAGGCGCGGTTGACGTGGGTTTGAGTGCTAGAGTCTGTGCTGCACGGGTCGCTATTCAGATATTTTGCAGCGATGAATGACTTGTAATATGGATCGAAACTGGAGTTGGTCACTATCTTCATGGATGTGCATTATGCATCCATTTTTTTGGGACGGTGGGGGGAGCAATATCAATGTGTTCATTGACCTTGCAACAACCTTTGTGTGAATTTTCGGATGGGTCAACTCTAGATGGCAATACTAGACGGCGTCAGATGATTGAGATGATGATAAGCGGCCAAAGCTCTCTAGGGGAAACCAAAGGATTCGTCGGGCAATTCGTTCGTTGACTTTGTTTCTGTGTATGTAACGGCTCCTTCCTGGAAACTAGTCTCCCAGCCTAGCGGTTCCCTTCCACCGACAAACGAAACCTACCTATGCTCTACGAAATACTGGAATGCTTCATAAGGAATACGCGTGGAATAAACCCCATATTGTTCAGTATCGGTTTCATATTTCTCGAGGCGGTAGCATATCTGAAGAAGCCGGATGATCGCAGCACCCGGTTCGCACCTAATGTCAAATCCTTCAATACTTCATCCCTGCCTGGTCATTCTCGCTATCATTGCTACTGGTACTCTCGACTTTAGTCACGGCACTTTCATCAGCCGCAGTCACAACGGCAGACCCGTGGAGCTGCTCCTCAAAGACCGGCTCAGGATCGACCGTCTCAAATTTGGTTCTGAAGTCAGCCAGTCCTTGCGTGCTGCTGTTGGAACGACGTCGAGCATTGTTCATAGTATAACCATAATCCTGCACTTCGTCTCCGGAGCGACCCCTACAGGCCAACTGGATTAGCAGAGTAGCAGAGTAACAGAGTTCCAAGTTGGGTCTCGATTCTTACCAATTGCCCTTGCCGCCTCCGTCTTTCTTTGTCTTGCGGGGATCCGCGTCAGTTGGACCGGACTTGGCAAAATAGCGAGGAAGGTTTTCACGAGGGGCCATCATGCCATCAGTAGGGTGGTCGCGATCATTGAGTTTGTGGGAACGGGTCACTGTGCTATTAGTCAAAATCAAGGTGGCCAGGATCGTGGGCTTACTGCTGGTTCTGGAGTCAATTTGGGTAGGAAGATGAGATAGAGTTAAGGGGAAAGAGTGAGAAGCTTGGAGGAGCGAGCCAGAGGCGTGTCGGTTTAACACCCTCGTGCGCGTGACTCGTGACCTCATACCCTCCGGGGCGAGAATGCGGGGGTCAACTAATCCCCGGCCCCACCTAACCTTAATCCATCACGACTTGAATGCTTCACAAAGAGTCTATACGGAGGATGCCTCTGCAAGAATGTCTGGGTGTGCGTGGGTGTAAGAATTCTATATGGCATGATCTGGCTATAAAAGGGTGAAGTTTATTCGGCGTGAATTCTTAGACCTAGGTTGAGCAGCTACGAAATATCCTCCAGTAAACTTATTTAACTTTAGAGGAGGAAGAGTAGCTATTCCCTCGTCCGGCAACTAGTAAGATATTAACTAATTAAGGGTCGTTCTATTAGCACTACCTTAAAATTCTGGCGGAACTACCTGAATTTTCTGCCTTACTACCTAATTTCTGCTAAGCCCGTTACAGCTATTTCTTACGATTTTAACTATTCCCCCCCTCCTCTTATTTATACGTATCCTTTTCTCTGAATCTCATTTAATTAGGCCTAATTATATAACCTATATAACTCAATTAAATTTAAAATCTCTAATTACCTAAGCTAATCGCTACTTAGTAACTACTTACGCTATTTACTTTAGGGACCTTATAGCTAATAATAATCTCTTTACCTTATAACTATAAGCCCTATATCCTTAGCGAAGTTACTTCTCCTATCTTAATAGAATTCGCCTTATTAAAGTATTAGACCTCTTTTAAGGTAGTAGTATTATAATTCCTATAGTTTTATTTATAGTAATATAAGTATCTTTATCCTAATTTTATATAGATATTTAACTAAAGTAATTCCTAGTTTTCTATCTTAGCTATTATTTTATAATCTCTAGTAACTTTAGCTAACTAATCCTTCTAATATAATTTAGCTCTTTAATTTAAAGCTCTCTCTTTATCTTTTATCTAATTACCTAATCCTTTATATAACGTATTTCCTAGCCGATCGGCTCACCCGGCCGATCGGATCACCCTATCCAAAATCGTATATTTCTAGCTACCTACTAAATTTAACTACCTATTATACCACTAATTCGACCTAGATCTCGGTAAAAATTAGCTAACTAAGAGGGTAAGATCCTACTAGCCCTTTCTAACCTAGAAAAGGGTAATATTAAATCTATTGGTGCGGCGGTAAAGCTATATAAGATACCCTTCTCTACACTCCGCTTACGCGCTAGCGGCCGCGCCTTACGCGTTAATACGCGCCTATCTAGCTATAAATTAACGTAATTAGAAGAGGATTCGCTTTACTAATAGGTAATCTGATAAGGTTCCTAGTGTATCCGATCGGGTCCGACAGGACAGGATCCACATAGGACCTTTAGGATGACCAGTCAAGATAGAAGTTCTTCTTCTTACGAATAGGACGAAGCAGATCAGATAGATCGTCCTCTATTGCATAAGATCTTCTCTAAGTATGAGAGGGTCAAACGAGATTAATAAGATAGATCAAAGAGAGTATTGATTCTGAAGGAAAGTATATTGAGTCTTAACTACTAAACTAGTGAACGAATGGATGTTTAAGTACATGATTAGGATAGTTTAGATAGTTAAATCTAGACTAAATCGTTGATCTAATCGATGATCCGATTATATATCGATAATCTGATAAATCGATGGATTAGGAAGTTATTAGATGTTAGTATCCGTAGCTAGAATAGCCGATTTCTTATCTATTTTTATAAGGAAAAGATAGCCTATTATAAGATTTAAATAGTTAACCTATTTACTAATTAAATTGTAAATTAAATAGTAAATCTAGTCTCTATCTAATTAAATAGGACTAATTAACCGCTAATAGTATAGCTATTAAATCGCCTACTAATTTAGCTAATTAAATTTTAATAATTCCTAGCGTATTAGATATCGATCTATCTAACGATTTTAGCTAATTCGGTCTATCTTCTTATAACGTAATTCCCGGCCGACCGGGACACCCGGTCGCGCGGGACACCTACTCCCATAAGAGAATTTCAAAGTTAATTATCTCCATCAAAACGCATTAAATTTACTACTACGAGCGATTCTTATATCGATTAATCCTATAGCTAATCTCCCCGCACCCACTACACTTAGGCGGTACCCTAATACGTGGTGGATTTACCTAACTAGGTAATTCGCCCTACCTATGCGATACTACCTTATCACCTTCTACTGGCTGGTCTAGCTATTTAACTAGCTATAGGCCTTCTTCGACCGATAGGCCACCCTTATAGGGTATCTGCCTAGTTAACCGATTGCGTTTCTAGCGCTTCTTCTTATTCGCTACGCAGAGATTCACGTTTTCCTACGTAAGTATTATAGTGTTATATAGCGCTTCGGAGTAGCCCTTAATAATACGATCTAATATATTTTTTAATAGGCTCGGAGGGCTATTTAACCGCTACTTTAGCAGATCTTTAAGTATTAAAGCTTACTTATATAGCTAAACCACTATCCTAGGCGTTTTTAGTGTAAATTAGCTAGATCTACTACTTAGTCGGCTACTTAGTAATATAGGCGTTCGTAGAGAGATATTTAGCTTAGAAAGGACCCTTTCCGCATCTACTAGATTTAGACCAGTAGCCATAAAGCTATTCTAAATAGTATTCGACTAGAAGGCTTCTAGCCGCGCGCGTTAGTAGTCGTCTAAGAAATCAAACTTATCGATATAGTTATATCCTACGCGGGTAAGATCGCTTACGAAGCGACCGTATGCGCGTTTAAGCACTACAAAACACCTAATATCTAGTAGTCATAATAGATACGATAAATACGTAGGCATATAAAGAGGTATAATATCGTTTTCTACGTAGATTCAATTAAATTAGGGCGTAAGGTAGCTACTATAACTATTAAGAATTAATAAGCGAAATCGGCCGCGTACGCGTAAATTCGTTAATAGGATAAAGATTTTTTGTAGCTAGCGTAGGCTAATCTCATTAGTAGTCTAACCGTTATTAGAGACCTCGAATCGCTAATCCTTTAGTAGGTTATCAAACCAGCTAGCTTAGAAAACACTACCTTTAAAGATTATATATAGCGGTAGTGAATAACCATCTACGTAGATTACTTTAATCGTAGTGACCTATTCGCGATTTCTAGGCTGTAAGATAGATCTCCGACCGTAGTATTTAGCGCGCGTAACTACTTTCTGATTTATAATAAGGCCTATTATAAATCCTATCTTATTAAAGTTATAGATATCCTCTAGTTAAATCCCATTCTTATTAATTATACGTTAGATAGTAGTAAACCACTACCGGAGCGATTAGGGATCTTCGTTTAATACGCGTTAGTAATCGTATCGCCTAGAGAAACGTGACCGAAGCTTATCGCGTCGTTAAATATAGGTTAATAGCTAATTCTTACCGACGGTAGGTGGCGGCTAGCTACTACGCGCGGCTAGGAGGATATTCGCTATATTACACACAGTAGCGGGCCTAGGGGCTACTCCACGCGAATCTATAGAGAGTATCCATTTGCAAAGCGAATCCTCTTCTAATTATGTTAGTTTATGGCTAGTTAGGCGGCTATTAACGCGTAGGATTCGCCCATCAGCGCGCGTATATAGTGTTAACTTCGGTATTGCGTATAGGCTAGCTGCTACGCGAATAGATTTAATACGACTATTTTTAAGGTCATCAAGGGCTAGAAGGATCTTGCCCTCTTAGCTAGCTAATTTCTGCCGAGATTCAGAGCGAATTAGTAGCATAGTAGTTAGTTAAATAGGGTAGGTTCGTAGGAAAACGCGATTTTAGATGGGGTGTCCCGCGCGACCGGGTGTCCCGGTCGGCCGGGAATTACGTTACGTTAAAGCGAGTAAAAGGATTAATTAACCTCTAATACCCGTGCCTAGGTTATATAAATTAAGAGATCCTATCTTATCTTACTAATTACTTAGCTAATAGATATATATATATTCGAACCTACTAGCGCTAAAATCGTTAGATATACTTATAGGACTAATTACTAGGCCCTTAGCTAATTAGATTACCTACGCTACTAATTTATATAAATAAGATAGGTATACGCCTATAAATCTAATAGGTTGGTGTTAGCCTATATAAGCGTGTGTGGCTATATAAAGTTAGTTAACCGTACGGCCCGCTAGCTAACGGCCCGGGCCGGACTATCGTTTTTCCTATCCTTTCTCCGGGGAAAAACCATATCTCTTTAATAGAGAGTTTTATATAAGAAATCGGCTAATCTAGCTACGGATACTAACATCTAATAACTTCCTAATCCATCGATTTATTAGATCATCGATATATAATCGTATCATCGATGTATAATCGGATTATCGATTAGATTAACGATTCGGTCTAGATTTAACTGTCTAAACTGTCCTAATCATATATTTAAACATCCATTCGTTCACTAGTTTAGCAGTTTAGATTTAATATCCTTAGAGATTCAATATCGAGAGAAGACTTAATATCCTTTCCTTTAGATTTAATACTCTCTTTGATCTATCTTATTGATCTCGTTTGACTCTTTCATACTCAGAGAAGATCTTATACATCAGAGGACCCTTAACGATCTATAGTCCTATTCGTAAGAAGAAGAACTTCTATCTTAATTAGTCATCCTAAGGTTCTATGTGGATCCTATCCTCTCGGACCCAATCGGATACACTAGAACTTCTGCTAGTTAGGCTATCTTACACGATTTAAAGCGCGCTTATATATATAAGGGGATATATAGGTCCCCGATAATTAAGACGTATAAACTAGTACCCTTATTACTAGAATCTTCTATACGCTTATAGCGATTACTACCGAATTTAACCTAGAGACCTTTTCGATAGATACTATTAACGCCTTCCTAAATAGCGAATTAAAAGAAGAAGTCTATTACTAATATCTACTAGGTATAAGACGAAACTTAATAGTCCTACGTCTATATAGAGTAATATACGGCCTACGAATCGCTAGTAAGAGATAGAAGGATAATATTAAAGAGATACTACTCTTACTCGGTTTTAAACTATATCCTAACGACCTTACTCTCTATACTAATAATCGTATAGTTATTATTATCTATATTAATAACTTCTTAGCTACCTACTATAAAAGTAA